ATTTGACTCAGACACTTTGTGATCTGGGTTGTGATTTATGGGGCTAATGCCCCTGCATGTTACGCTAGGGTGGAACGGCGTTCTAAGGCAGGGGAAGGGATGCTGTCCCCGTTCCTAGTGTATCCTGAGCAGCCTCCTTGTACCCCTCAAAAGCGACTCAGGGCAGCCGGCCCTGTATCCTCGTCTACACAGCCCATCCCTCGGTATCCACAGCTACCTTCACAGATGCCAGAACCCACAGATGCGTGCTTGCTTTCAGAAAGTGGTGTAGGATTTCCTTAATAGCCTACGGTACCCTGTCATATACCTTAAATCATGGCTAGGTGACGTAGAATTCCTAGTACACTGTAGATGCTACGTAAACAGTTGTTATGCTACAATGGTTAGAGGATAATGCTAAGGAAAACAAGTCTCCATGTGCAGGGCGGATGTGGGTTTTTTCCTCGAATATTTTCAATCTGCATTTGGTCGAATCGAGGAGTGCAGGCTGCACGGCTGTGGAGAGCTGCCTGTCAATTGGCATTTCCTCGTGTGTTGTGTTAAGTTGCCTTCCTGCCATCTTCCACTTGCCCCACTTTTGGTGCAGTATTTAAATCAGTTCCCTTCTTTAAGGAAAATGTATCAGGAAAGAAGACAATAAACAGAGGTGGAAGGGGAGTTCCTAGACTTGAAAAGAGACCTCAGCTAATGGCACACAGTGTGTTCACCACATTGGGTTCCTGATTCAAGCCAGCAGCTTGTAAAAAAAAAAGATTATGACATTTACGAGACAGTTGAAGTTGGAACACTTGGTAGATAATAGAGCTCCAGACAGCACTGTGATTATTTTAGGGATCCTGGGGGTATTGTGGTTAGAAAGAGTCCTTCTCTCCCAGAGACACGTGCTGAGATATTTGCAACGCTGGGTGTAGTCAGTGGTGGGGGATACAGACAAAAGTTTGGCTGTGAATTGACAATTATTGCAATTGCAATTGAATGGCAGGCACACAAGTGTTAATGACTCCAGTTGGTCCATTTTTGTGTAAGTTTGATAGTTTTGTAATTAAAAAAAAAAAAGCAAAAGGGGGACTGCCTGTCACAGTTGCAGGGTTGTCGGGGGTAAATCTGGGAGTGCATCAATCGGAGGCTGTAGCGAGGAGCAGGCTGGCAGCGGGCCCGGGGCTGCGGAGCCGTCATCCAGGCGCGAGGCCCATTTGCCCCTATAAATACCAGGCAATACGAACGCTTTACTATTTTAACGCAATTTGCCGCAGCTGCTGAGCGTGTTTGTTTACGTAGCTATGGAACCTTCTGTAAACACCCATGTGTCAGGGACAGAAATGGCCCCCTTTAAAAATATATTTGCAGATGAGACACGGCTCGCTCCTAGATGTCTGGGCGGCTGGTGTCAGAATTTTCCAGGGTTTGATTCATTTTCAAAAATAGAATTGCATGACTAGAAAGGTCTTGAGAGGTCACTCTGGCTCCCGGGCAGGGGCAGGCCGAGGACATCTGCAGAGGATGCGGCTGTGTCCTCCATGGCTGCCGTTGGATGAGCTCCCTGCAGGGCGCCCAGGCTGAGCAGGGCTCACTGCCTGCCTTCAAGGAGCTTGCTCCAATGTCCAACCCTGGAACCGACTGTGCTGTAGCCAGCGCTGGGAGGGAAGGCAGCGAGCAGCACCTAGCCTGTCCCCCTCTGCCCCTGTCCCCTCCCCACCCCAGCTCCCAGCAGCTGGAGGGCCCTGAGAGCTGCCACAGGAGAGCAACTCAGTGGCAGAAACACCATGTTGCAATCACCCACAGCGAGCAGGAAGTGGGTGTTGCATTGTGGTTGCCACCTGAGACTCACCTGATAACCGAGGCCACTGACCACTGCAGTGTACGGTCACTGAAGACATTCTGGAAAGAAGGGATTTCTTACCAGGAAAGCCGTTTGTGTCACTGGCTGTCACCATGCACCCTGCTTTCCAATCTGGCACTCCAATGAGTAATTAGTTTTCCTGGAGTGTCCTTTGGTCTCCATTTGTTTCTTTACCTGCTTGGATACATTGAAAACGTTTTTTGTTCTCCCTAAGGAATGTCTACAGATCTTTCATTCACAAAGAAACAGTATCCGAAGTTCAGGAGCTGGGCTTTGTTACAGGAACCAGACCTGTGCAGCTTCCAGACACTTCCGGAGCTTTCTAGAACACCCCTCCCCCACTTTCAGAGCGAGGATTTGGATTTTTTTTTGCTGGCATTCCCTAAGCAAGGCGTGCAAAGGCCTCCAAATGCTCCCAGGCAAGCATCACTGTTAATTACCAAGAAAGTCTGGCGTCTCCACTTGGAGAGGCTCACTCACTGCCAGCTGTCATCAGAAAGACAGGGCCTGCCCCAGGGAGAATTGCAAGGCACCGACATCATGAAGAGGATCTGCTTGTTCCGGATTCACTTACTTTTTGAGATTGGGCTTTGGTTTGGAGGGACACAAAGCTCAGCTCTTGCAATTGGAAGCTCAGGTTAACATCAGGAGCCAGAGGGACGTCTCCAGTGGCTTTTGATTCTGGAGCTCAGAGACACATGGATAAGCCTCACCCGGGACCCTCTCTGTGGCTCTGATTAAAAAAACAAACAAACAAAAACCCCCTGCAGCAGGAGGGGTCAGTGCTGCCGTCGTGACCACTAGGGGGCGCCAGAGCCCCCGAGCTCACTGAGGTTGCAGGAGTGCCTGCTTGCTCCTCTCCCCTTGTGTCTCCCGCACACAGCGATGGCCTCATGTGGACACCCCGAACCAGCCCCAGGTACAGCACTTATTTATTCAGCATTTCACAGAAGTTGCAGTTTCAAATACAGAAAGAAGTATTTTAAAAAGAGAGGCTCATGAGTCAGGGAGACGAGCAGTCTCAGCACTGCCCGGGCTGCAGGGGCTGGCTCTCGGTCAAGTTGCCCTCATTGAGTTGAACACCTGGCCCCACGGTGGGTGTGAAATAAATCCACGGCCGTCCCTTTGCGACTGCCAGGGACCAACACCAACATCTGCAGGTGCTCAAGTGCCTTCAATAAGATGACAAAGAACATGCCTGTAACCTTTGCACACACACCCCGCCCCGGTGTGCACCTCTACATGACACGCGACATCTCACTCGACGCAAATGCCCTGCAAGCATGTCTGCACTGTACTGTCCAGGGAATAGTGACAAGAGAACAAGTCAGTGTGTGTTCAGTGCAGGCACAGGTTTTGCGGGTGGCTATTTTGGATCCATGGTGGGCTGAACACATGGATGCAGACAGACATGGCAGGCCGGCTGCCATTTGCTAGTCTTTAAAGATTTTTAGGAGCCAGCGGTTAGGATGCCTGCGTCTTTGAGTCCCCACTGCAGCTCCTGACTCCAGCCCCTGCAAGTCGGCAGACGGAGGCTCACGGAGCTGGGTCCCTGCCACCCACGTGGGAGAGGCACGGATTGAGTTCCTGGCTTCGATCTGGCCAAGCCCCAGCTGCTGCTGGCATTCTGGGCATGAACCGGTGCATGGAACGTCTCTGTCTCTCCGATAAAGGAAAATGAAGATGACTTCTACGGCTCGGGTTCATGATCCTTTTGTTCAGTGGAAAGGGGTGTCCCCGTGTCACCGAGCCCCACGCCAGTCCCTCATTCGCACTCTCTGTTTGCGGCAGCTTGAAAACCTACTGCTGAGTTACACCTCCCCAAGAGAAAGTTGCTGCTGGCCGTGACTTTGCTGGTTGGGACAGAAAGGTAGAAACATGGACCAAGGACTTTCCTTTGACAGGGACAGGCAGGGTTAGGTTGTCACAGGACAATGAAGAATCTGGGGCCAGCCTGCAGGTCATGCATTTTCTGATGATGTCTGCCAGCCTCAAGCCTCTGACTTTAAAAGGACACAAGGGCCGATTATGTAAGGGAAGAGGACCCCAAGAGCAAAGCGGCAAGTCAGAAGAACAAACAGTAAAAGCAAGGGCAGGGTGCTGCTTCGCGCTCTGTCTGGGAGGCACCGTTGTCAGCGGGACTAGGGCTTGTAGCTCTGATCTGTGAGATGCTACAGATAAAAATGGGCAGCTGGGATGGGCAACATGAAAACTCCGACATGAGTGACAACTTCAATAAACACAAACCGTCTCTCCACCCTGAGAACACCCGGAAGTAGCTGTTAAAGCAGCATCGACAGGATGCTGACGGATGGCTCGCCAGCGTTTTCGTTTCTCCTGGAGTCTTGCTTATTTTTTTAACTGGGTCTGGGGTATTAGGTCTTATGGGGGCCCAGCAAAGGGAGTGGGGAGACATGAGGTGCCCTTGAAAGGAAGTGAAACCAAGGCTATGGCCTTACACATGGCTCCAGGAACAGGTGAAACTATGTCTTTCGGAGTGCAAATTTGTTAGACTTCGTTTGGAAGGCTTACTTTCTTCCACGTGGCTCGGTAATAAAACACCTCAAATATTGAAGTGAGCAGTGCTTTAAAGCCATTGAAATAGTCCTTTAGAGACACTAAATTTTACTTTAAGTAAATATTTGGAAATTTAAAATATATGAAGCGACTTTTAAAAGTATTCACTAACTCACTTCCTGAAGGGCTTCTGAAAAGCTAAGTGGGGGTGGGCGTTTACGATACCACTTAGGACGCCTGCTGTAGTGGAGCACTTGTATTTTATGTCCAGCTCTGGCTCCTAAGCACACCTGCCTCCAAATACAGGCCCAGGAAGCAAGAGGTGGTGGCTGCTGTCAGGAGACTCAGGTTGAGTTCCCAGCTGCTGGCTTCAGTCTGGTCCAGTTCTGGCTGTTGTAGACATTTGGGTAGCTAACTAGGACACGATAGCTCTTTCTCTCATATAGAAGTACAGGGTAGGTGGTTAGGCTCCTTGGTGGATATACTTAAGGCTGTAGGACACAGAGGCACACTTTAGCACAAAGGTCGGGGATGGTGGCATCAGAGGCCCAGGTTCAGCTTTCTATCTGTTGCAAGAATGATGGCGGGTCCAGCCTAAACGAGCATCCAGCCCACAGATACCCCAGTATGGAGCCCTTCTTACCTGTGGCTTCCACCATTCCTTCTAGGATGACCACGATTTCCAGCTCCTCTTTGGGAAGCTGAGCTTTGGAGATCTCCCAGAAAGGACTCTGTTGGTTGATTTCGTGACTGATGATCAGCGGCGACACCAGGAACAGGCGGTCGTCCCCCGTGTAGTACCCCACGTTGATGTCCGTCTGGTTTAGAGGGATGAACTCTCCCTCTGAAGTCTGTTTGGATTTGATCAACTTGGCCCTGATGGATGCCTCCACAATGTGGGAATTCCTAAGGTCCCCCACCCGGAACATCAGGCAGAGTTTCCCGTCCCGCATGGAGATCACGGCATGCGTGGAAAAGACCAGGGTCTCCGCCCTCTTCTTGGGCTGAGATATTTTTACAAACATACATCCCACCATGAATGCATTGACGATGGAGCCCAACACAGACTGGATTAAGAGGAGCACGATTCCCTCCGGGCACTTATCCGTGATGACCCGGTAGCCATAACCGATGGTGGTTTCCGTCTCTATTGAGAATAAAAAAGCCGAGACGAACCCGTTGAGGTTGGTGACACAGGGAGTCCAGGAGGGGTCCTCTATGTGGTCCATGTCCCCTCGGATGTAGGCGATTAGCCACCAGATCATTCCGAAAAAGAGCCACGTCACCGTGTAAACCATGACAAAGATGAGCAGGTTGAACCTCCACTTGAGGTCCACGAGGGTGGTGAAGATGTCGGTCAGGTAGCGGTAGGTCTCCCTCACATTGCCATGGTGCACGTTACATTTCCCATCTTTCCTCACGTACCTCTGGATTTTCCTTTTGGTGCGGTCCCGGCTGATGTGTCTCGGCAGGTCCTCCCTGGCCTGCTTAGGCAACTTTGGCTGGTGGATGGGCACAGGGCTCTCGACATCCTGGTCCATGGAGTCGCCCTCCAGGACATTAGCTGGTGGTTGGGAGAGAAGAAAAGAAAAACCCAATGAAATGCTGGCTGTTGGCGGATACCGGATGCGCACACTTGGTATAAAATAAAGCAGTGAAACAGAATGCCATCTGTGTAGCAAGGTGCGAGGAAGACAAAGCCATTTGTACTTGGTGCCATCTGGGGGGCTTCTAGTTGTCACTGGGAGTCCTTCACCACCCTGTCTACTGGACAGCGTCTTGCTGTGCAGATGTCTTCCTGAATCAGCTCTTATAGGAGCTGCCTCCCCTCTCAGACTCGCACGGCACGGGACCGAGAGTGAGCTCTAAGTGTAGAAGGCGTCTTTGGGTTCAGTTAACAACCGTGGGCTCTTGGACAGACTATCTGGTAGGGGCTGAATTCTGTCCCTCTCCCAAATCCATATGTTTAAGCCCTGACTCCCGATGTGACTTTATTTGCAGACAGAGCCTGGGAGGATATAATTGAAGGCTAAATTTGGTCATAGCAGTGATGGTTATTCTAACAGATGTCCTTGTAAGGGGAGGAAGAGACATTGGGGTGCACAAGGATGTCGGGGCCCAGTGAGAGAGAGGCCTCACCTAAACCAACCAGCCTGAGGAACAGGACTGGGACGAGGGAAGTGTCTGTGGGTGAAGGCTCCCAGTCTGTGGAATTCTGGGAGGGAAGTCTGAAATAATTACTCCAAAGCTTTCCAAATTCACTAAACCTCAACATCCTCATTTCCAGAATCAGCCCGATACCCAACCCCTAGTGTTGACGCCGCTGGTTGTAAGGTTAGACGGGACTACACGTGTGACTTGTGTCTGCCTGAAACAGCCCTGGGACACACATCCCTGGGGAACACATCGTGTTCCCTCGGTACCCTGCTCACACCAGGGGGGACGATTTTGAATGAGGCTTTGTCGTCTGGGCTGCCATCGGGGGTGAGGCAGTGCAGGCCTCTCCCTCTTCACCATCATTCAAAGCAGTGGTCAAATTTTGGGGTTTAAAAAGATCTCTGGCTTTGGTTGGGAAGTCTGCCTGCATCGTATCTTGATGGCTGATTCAGCGCCAAGGTTACGGGACAGCGTGGAGAATGCTCTCTCTTGCTGCGTGTTGACACATTCGCTTTGGCGTCTGCCTCCACATTTCACATCTGCGGCTCCGGCTCATGGCTGCTTTCTCTCTGATGGCCTTTATGATGACTGCGTTGGCAGAGTCATCGTGAACACAGCATTAGCGAGCTCGCCTACAGTCTGAGTTCAAAGGGAGTTTTGGAAGCGATTCTGCTATGAAACGCACATAAACCACTGGATGAAATTACTTGTTGAGCCAATAACTCTTTAAGCTTTCTAAAAGTTTTATAAGCCATTTCTTCCCCAGGCTTCCATTCCGTGTCTCTCAGCTGTGCTGTTTCCTCTGCGGGAACTGTGTCTTTCTCTTGGCTAATGCAGTCTGTTGAGGAAGCCATCTTTTTGCTCAGTAAGAAACTAACTGGGGGAGGGGGTTGCTGCGCAGTGGGTTAAGCTGCCCCCCGCCGTGATGCTGGCATCCCGTGTGAGCGCTGGTTCGAGTCCTGGTCGCTCCACTTCCAACCCAGCTCCCTGCTAATGCACCTGTGAAAGAAGTGGAAGATAACCCTTGTGAGGGACCAGCTTGGGCCCTTGTGAGAGACCAGATGGAATTCCTGGCTTCTGGCTTGGGTTTGGCCCAGGTCTGGCTGTTGGGGCATTTGGGGAGTGAACCAGCAGATGGAAGAAGGATCTCTCTCTCTCTCTCCCTGCCCCACTTAATTTTCTTTCTTTCTTTCTTTCTTCTTTCTTTCTTTCTTTCTTTCTTTCTTTCTTTCTTTCTTTCTTTCTTTCTTTCTTTTTTTGTATTTGACAGGTAGAGTTATAGACAGTGAGAGAGAAAGAGACAGAGAGAAAGGTCTTCCTTCCATTGGTTCACTCTCCAAATGGCTGCCATGGCCAGCGCTGCACCGATCCAAAGCCAGGAGCCAGGAGCCAGGAGCCAGGAGCCAGGAGCCAGGAGCCAGGCACTTCTTCCAGGTCTCCATGTGGGTGCAGGGACCCAAGCACTTGGCGCATCTTCCACTGCTTTCCCAGGCCATAGCAGAGAGCTGGATTGTAAGAGGATCGGCCAGGACTAGAACCGGCACCCACTTCACTTTTAAATAAATAAGTACATCTTAAAAAAAAAGAAATAAAGAAATAAAATAACTGGGGATGGGGCCGGAGCAGTCCCGACTTAACTTGGGACCTTGCTCATGGCCTTGGCGATCCGTCCCATGGATGCGCCCATGACGAGGTCGCACATGGGCTGCACAGCCTGCTGTCCGGCCGGCAGCACTGACCTTCTCGGTCACCCTCCGTTGCCCTCCATTCTTAGTGAGGAAGTTTGCTTTTCTCCCCTTCTTCTGAGGACAGATAGATATCTGGATGGACGCAAAGAGAGGCAGGGGCGAGCTGGAGCATGATGGGATGGAGGTGCCAGGGCTTAGGCAGGGTCCCCAAGGGCTCATGTGTCAACATTTAATCCCACTGCAAGGCGTTGAGAGGGTGGGAGCTTAGCGGTGAGGCCCTGGGGAGGGACTGGGGTCCTGTGAGGTCGCCCCAGACCTGTCACACGGCTCCCTGTCTCCTGCCTCGGGATTCTTCTGGCAAGGAGGCCACTGCACAGTGGCCACTTGCCCGAGGGCCAGAGCCCTGAGCAAAGCAAAGCGCTTGTCTCGCTCCCCCACACAGCCCGTGGCCTTCAGTTACCAGCAATGGAAAACAGACAAGTTCAAGGGCAAAGGCAGGACCCCTGCCCACTGCCAGCACCCCCTGCGGTGGGGGATGTTTGGCCAGGAGTGGGCACGGCTGAACTCTCACTGTTCCTTTTGCCTGGAGTGGCCGTTTCTAAAAACGACGATGTGCGAAACAGCCTCTGGGCTCAGAGCCTCCCAGGACAGAGACTCCCCACCTACAGACCTGGTGTATGTGCTGGCCATGGCCGCTAGGCCGTCTGACCACGTGCGGCTGCCCGGAGGCCTCCTCCCCCTGAGCCTGAAGAGGAAGAAGAGCTTTTGTCCTATTAGTTGAGTCTTATTTTTTTAGAAAGATTTATTTATTCATTTGAAATGCAGAGTGACGGAGATGCATAGAGCGAACTCTTCCACCTGCTGGTTCTCTTCCTGAATGCCCACAGCTGCCAGGGCTGGGCCAGGCCAAAGCCAGGAGCCAGGAACTCCATGCTGGTCTCTCCCATGGGCGGCAGGGGCACAAAGGACTTGGGTTTTCCGCTGCCTCCCAGGCCCACCGTGCTTGGCGCCACTTTGTGTGTTCATCATGCTAGGAGGACAATTGTGCCTGCCTCTCCTCCTCCCCAAGTTGGAGCCACTTTCTTCTGTTTGATGCTTCGCTGAAAACTTTAAGCTGAAGGCATCTGTCCTGAGGGGAAGGAACCTGCATGAAAGGTGTCTGGCTAGGACTGGTGTCCGCTGATCCCCACCAGAGCTGCTGCCCCTGGGGCTGGACCCCATTTCCCAACCTCTCTGCAGGGAAGGGTGCCCACAGTGATGGGACCTAGCCCAGTCCCCAGGCCCCGGGTCCTGGATATGCCCCCACTGTATGGTCCTGCACCTGTGCCTGGGGGTGATGAGGTCAGGAACGGAGGAGTCTGGGTCCCGAGTCAGTGGTGGAGCCACCAGCTCCCTTGAGAAACAGCAGAGAGATGGTATTTTGTGTCTGTTATCAAAACAAGCCTCATTTATGATCTTAGGGGCAGAAACATGCACTCCAACAAGCATACACAAAGTTATGGTGTGTGGCGGGGGTGTTCCTGGAAAGAGAAAAGCAAGTTGAAGATGGAGCGCTGGGGTTTGGTGTTTATAAGAATTAGCATGTGGTTAATTGAGTGCTGCATCTGCTACTCCAGTGCCTTTAAAAACAAACAGAACTTTAAAAATAAAGCAAACCAAACCTCCCTGCGAGTGGGGCTGGATGGGGGTCTCGCGGGACCCCTGCTGGCGAGGCAACCGGACAGTTGCGTCCTGGGGAGCTGGGAGCGAGGCTGGGCTGCCTGCAGATGAGTGGCTGAAGCGAGGCACAGGAATGGAGTTCAGGGGAACCACAGAGCCTGGGGAAGGTGAGTTTGTGGGGAGAGCAGGAGAGACCACTGTGGGAGCCGCGAGGGTCAGGCAGGGCCGTGCCAGCGACCAAGACGGGGCGCAGGGAGCGAGGTGGGGAAGGGTCTGTGCGCCCGAGCCTCAGGGCTGTGTCCAGAGTAATTGCGGGAACCTCTGGGCCAGGGAGAAGGGGCCACTGCAGGCCTGGGCTGAGAGAGGTGCAGCAGACCTCGCCAGCGTGCGTGCAGGGGTGTGCGGGGATATCCAGAGGGGAGGTAAAGCTGTTTGTAGACAAATCCTGGGTGTGACTCGGAGCAGGGGACCTGAGACACATCTGCACTGCTCAGCAGGGCGAGCTGTGGCCACAGCGGACAAGCAGCCGTCTCTCCTGTGTCACGGCACAGATGATGACACGAACAACTTCCCACCCTCACCTCCCACGGGCCCCCTAGGGGCTTGCGCTGGGCCCTGGCTGTGCAGGCACTGGTCACGTGGTTGCACCTGGGGGGCTGCACAACTCCGTCAGCCTGGCAGGGATCACGCACAGGGAACACGCCCCGTGCCAGTCACGTGAGTGCCACTGACATGACCAGGACCGAGACTTTCCCTGATGCACCTGCCTCGAGGCTGGTTTCTCTGGAGTTTGGCTTGGCATCAAAGCGTCCTGTGTAAAGACCAGTGAGGACCCAGCCTCCTCCCCTCCCTTCTTGAGAGATGATCAGTTCACACAGAGCTGGCGAGGGTGCGAGGGTGCGAGGGTGCGAGGGTGTGCGGCCGCGCGGTGCTGGGATTTAACTGGACAGAAATAACATCTACGGCAGAGCTGGAGGACTGGGGTCGCCGAGCCAGGGGCATGATGTGGTCACCTTTAGGTGCCTTGTCATTGCCGGGGACGCTGCCCTGGGCTGAGTTT